TATCTGGCCAAAGTGAACAATACGTTGATGGGTGAGAGTTCGAGTTGTCATGCCGTCTCCTTTCCCTAGATGTACGTGAGTGTCAAATCAATGATAAGTAATGTCGACAGCCTTCCCTCACTCAAATGCGGTGTCAACATTAAGGTCTTAGACTGACAAAACCTTTTCTTCTTCTACTTCTTCTCTCGCCTTGCCTGCATCTCTTTCCAGTAGTTCAAATGAAATACCCAACTCTCAAAAGCAACCATCGTGACTATTGATTCAAACATTTTTCTTTTATTTATTTTATTTAATTGTTTTTAATATTATTATTATTATTATCAGTTATTACATAAAATCTACTATTTTTCTTCCGTAATTTATGTGAGAAGTCGCTCCGATTTGTATGAGTGTTATTACATAAAATCTACTATTTTCTTCCCTAATTTATGTGAGAAGTCGCTCCGATTTGTATGAGTTTCCTGCCATTGGAATATTAAAGTTTCATTAGATGTCTTTTCATTTCTTTTTAGTGATAAATATGGCTATGTCGTGGTTGGGAGCTATTCACAGTGGTTGGCAGTTATATGATCTTTAAGATTTACTAAGCTAAATGATCCAAAAATCTTCGAATCAAGTAACCAACATATGGTTATATGACCCAGGAGTCATAGATTCAAGAGTTGTAGGGAATTATGGACCAGCCATTAATGATTTTATCCCTGTAAATCTTCACTGTTGTTTGAATTCCCCTTGAAATGACTGAAGTTTGCTGTCTAGAGATTATAATTACCGTTCTAGATGGATTTTTAGCAATAAGAAGCTTTCCAATGTAAAATCCAGTTTCTTGGAGATTTTCTTCAGTCTTGTTGGCTTTCATTCATGCCTGAACATGGAGAAAGCGAGGAATATGCTTGATTCCTTGTAATGTGGCGGGAGAGTGCGAGGGAGAGGGAAAGTGATGAGAGAGGAGGAATTTGAAAAATCAGATATGTAATTCTGATACATTTGCTTCAATAAGCCCAGTAATACAAAATATGAATTCAAAATCTTAACTACTAGCTATAAGTAAAAGAGGATCTCCTTAGAATCCAAAAGCTAAAACCAACTTTCTTATATTCTAGGTAACCAACTCCCAAATACAATGATTATTCAATTCAAATGTCTACAACCTAGGAATGGATAAGAAAAGATATAAGAAAATTTCTAATGAATTTCTAGCCTTTTATGGCCTGCATGAACCAGTGAACCATCCCTTCACCCTAAGCTGCCAATCCTCGAGTGACCAATGTTTTTCCTTAAGTTGGTTGCTGCCAAACTACTGGCTCTTTGTCTGCCCATTGTCCAAATATTTATTAGTAGTTTTCAGGTGGAGATTCATTGGATCAATTAAATATCTATTAGGCAAAATTGACCGAAAGCGCATTGAGAACCATTATTTATACATTTTTCAACCCTTTTCATTTGAAATATTTTAGTGTAAATTACATGCATGTCCTTGAGGTATAGATTGCGTTTCTCATTTGTTCATTCTTTTTGAATTGCTTCTTTCAGATCCCTCAAGCAATTCTTCTCTTAAACTTAGGTCCATATTGTCACGACCTGGTCTAGGACTTTGATTTAATCAAGATAGGAACGAACGGTGGAAATCAATTCTCTGTTATTCTAATTCTATTACTAACAATTTAATATTTAAATAATGCATGAAAGAGTCACTAAAGAAGACAATTAAAATTAAGAAGTAAAGATTATACATTTCTTGTTGTTGTTCTTGTCTTCTGTATACATTTTGCTCTCTTCTATTTATCTTGTTGTTTTCTAGAAATAATATGAAAACAACTTAATGAGTTATCTAAAATTAACTCTGTGGTAATCACTCAACTAAACTACAGTAATTGAAGGAAAATAGTACAATATGTATGCATGTCTATAAAAAATGTATAATATTTAGTTATAAACAATCTGATATATGCTTATAAGCAATCTGATATATGCTAGTACATGAATCAATGATTTTTTTAAAAGAACATACTCAATTTATTATAAGCATATACTTTAACTTTAATTTATAGTTTACATATACATCTGTGTCTGTGAGGATCATTGTCAACAAACTTCATACACCCTTGATCGATATTACTCTGTCGGCTTCCGTCGGCACAACTGTTAGCGATCTACACATCACAATAGTCTAGAGTGAAAAGACCCTCACCTGTCCCTTACTGATTTTATCCCGTCAGCATAGCGATTAATAATGTAAGTAATGCAATTGTCTGGGGAGGTAAGCTTTGATCCACTTCCCTCTGACCAATATTATCTCATCGACACAACGATTAGTGATTTAATCATCACACGTGTCTGGATGGTAAAAAAACTCTATGGGCGCACGTACATTGGCGTCCCCTTCCTGTATCATTAGGGGGTGAAATTCTCTTCTGAACATGCACATGCAAGCGTTCACATATAAGCTATTTCATTTTTCATGCAAACATTATTTTGAGACATTTATGCATTTACTAATATGCATATTTATTTTGTTGTACAAATATTCATCAGACATAACTTTCATATATTTCATATATTTATCTCATGTATATCTTTTATTTATATCTATCTCTTACTTGTCTCATGCATATCTTTCCTATGTCTATCTTACATGCCTATCTTACATATAATATCTAAATATCCTTCATCTTATGCATATTTTTTATGCATGCACGTTTTTTCTATTATACTTATCATGCATATTTGTCCTATCAATATGAAAAATCTGATTAAACTAGGGCAAACATGAAGTCAACCGTATAATCTGAAATAGAGAAAATTACTAAAATTTAGAAATGTAATCACTGACTTTAGTTGTCATGCTAAACTTTTAATCTTTGAATGTGTGTTGGAGGTTGTGATAACTTTTCTATTGAGCTCAATAACCTATAAAACATAATATTTAAATTCTTAAGATTTAAATAATTTCTATTGATTAAATTACTTTTCTTAGCTTAGGATTAATTTACCTGAATTTTAATGGAGTCGACCTACAACGATCTTCTGCATGCTTGATTCAAATTCGCTACCTCACATAACCAACTTGAAATCATAAACGAATTTGAAATTCACAATATATTAGTTCATTTGGTAAATTAGCTTAAAAGATCATTGATTTGCCAAAATATACCTTAAATGGCTTTCTTGGCGATAATCCATCTCCAAAACTGCCAAACTTACTTTATATCACTTCCATCCACACCTCTCCTACGTTGATATCACACCACTTTAGAAGCTCACAAAAGGCTTTCAATGCTTCCGACACACAATTGGCGCCTCTGATGACTATTAGAGAGGAAAAAAGTCACAAAAAACAAGTCAAAACTCTAAACGAATGTGCGAGGAAGAAGAAACTCTCAAATAGCGTGTAAAAGGGATTCACACTTACGAAAGTCATTCCGGAGCCCTAAATTGCGAACCGCTGCTTCCCTTGGTGCGATCAACCATTCTGCTACCCACGGCCCTTGCACTGTAGCAAGCTTCGCAGCTCCCTCGCTACTTCTGCTGCGTGAGAAAGGAGCAGAGGGGAAAATCAGGGAAGAGAGGTGAAGAAATATGGTTATTACAAATATTTTAACTTCTTTGCTGATTTTCATCATTTAATGCTATTGTGCGACCTTGTAATTGATGTTTTTTAGCATTTGCATTGAAAAAATGACTAATATATTTATATCATCTTTCTTACCCTTTCTTCATCCACCCCATGCATTCTTTCACTTCTACCATTGTCACTAGTTTGAATCTATGAGTATAAGAAGGGTGCATAACTTAATTTTCTCTAGATCTAAAGATGAACGATAGATCCTATTGAATAATATCAATAGAGTGCAACTAGTCCTCTAATCTTTGATCCTTTGCACCGATAGCCTTTCTAGCTATGCTACTCTTGTGCAATAGATCAATGAGAGAGCAACATATCCTTAGGAAAGTATGACCAATTAGATCTAGTTCCTAAGCAACATAAATACTCTGCACTTGCTTTAATGCTCAATAATGAGTTTTTTTGTAAATGATGAGGTAGGAGTGATCAATTGACAAAAATCTGAAGTAGCTGAGAAGCTCAAGAAATGTGACATGAACCATAAGGCCTGTTAAATCTAGTTTTCATGTATCATAACTATTTATTATTTTTAATTGTGCCTTCATATTTATGGATTGCCTATTGACTAGCAAATGTAAAAGCAATAAATCTTTGGAGGATTGCGAGGGAAATCTTAGCTATTGAAGCTTGTTGCCATCTTCTAATCTCTTGTCGACGAGGAAAGAGAATAAATAATATCCAAAATTGAAGAGGAAAGGGTAAAATCACAGCTATCGAATGATGACGCAATCCATAATAACTCCATAAGTTAGGAAATATTTGTAGGGGTTATTAAAGTTTTTCTGGCAAAAAAAAATGTAGTTAAGGTAGGGGCCGATGTGTAAGCAGAAAATGATTTGTGGCTCAATTGAAGTATGTTTAAAAATGTGGAATGATGTGAAATAGCCAAGGACGAATGTGTAATTTTCCTTTTTTATGGATGCCATGTTTTGGCTGTTGCTCAAAATTGTACACGGAAAGTTTAATTGTCTTTGCTCGGAAATTGTTCAGTTTTCTATATTTCAGTTTGCATTATAATTTTTTTTTTGAAATTTTGGCAAGCAATGCTATTAACGCATTTTTCCAGTTTTGTGGTTTATTTATTTTTACAAACCAATTGTGCTTTAGATATTTGCTTGTCTTTATGGTACTTTCCTGCCTTCTATTTATGCTCTGTCGGAGCTTTTCTTTTTCCATCTCTTTTGAAGTTGGGTGAAGATGGTGGTTGGGTGCCTTATTATTACAAAGTTTTTCTCGGTCATTCTTGCTTAATTTATTCCCATGGTACAGTCAGGATGATGATGTCAAATTTTGTTGATAAATATTTATGATTGTTTTTCTCAGTTGCGTGCATTGAGCTGACTTCAACTTCTAATTCTTTTTTCCGTTTTGAAAGATCTGCAGAGAAATTATTTATGGAGGCAAAGAAAAAGTTAGGAACGCTCAATGCTATCATATATAGCAATATTATCTATGCTAATTGGTTAGTCATTCTGAGAAATTGATTTGTAATATTTTATTCTTTTTTTTTAAATTTTTCTTAATGCAAATCCTCTAATGAACTAATGTTCACCGTTAATTGCGTTGGTGGCTAACTTTTGCTTGCGTATTGCAAATTTTCAATCTTCTGTTTCCTTCTGTTAAACTCATTTTCTTAACATGGAAATATCAAATCAGTGTTAAAAGAGACTATTTGTTCATAATTTCAATAAAGAGCAAGGAAATTACTAAACGTTCTCTTTTTTTATTGCATAAATTTCTGTTCTCTAAATTTCTTTTGAACTATCATATGGATTTCAAGAGTTACTTTACTGCTCTTTTGTTTGCATGGTTTTCATGCATATATATAAGTTAAGATAATTTCAATTGTTTAAGATTTCTATTCATTGTTATGGCTAAGCTTTTGCCAATCCATGCAGTCAAATTGGCAACATGTCTAGATCCGAAGTACTTGTGAGAGAGATGGAGGAACAAGGAATTGATGCACCAATTGATTTATATCATACCATGATGGCTGGTTATACAAATGACCGAAATGAGGAGAAATGCCTGGTCGTTTTTGAAAGACTTCAGGTAAATTTCAAGTCAGTGTTTGTTTATTTGGTAAAATTTGGTTTTAATTCTCACAGTTATGATGATGAGACAACTACTACGCAGCATGTTTGCATATTATTCAAGAGAATGTACATAAACTAGATTGAAATCCTATTTTTCAATACTATGTAATAGCACGTGCTATAGCCCATAAGCACCCATCTTACATTATTTGCATGCAATGCTTAACTAAGCAATTTAGCATTCTATTGTTGAGCTATAGCGTACAACACACATAAGACATCATCTTGTCTTTCTAGTTAATTTTATTTTTAACTGACTGATGTATATAAATTACTTGATGAATAAGATAACCAAATTTGTTGGTGTTTATGCATAGAATTATGAGACTATTTACATTATTAAGTTTAGGACGCTTGTAAATTTATTTGTTCTACTCTCTAATTAAAGTAACATGATAGATTTTTTGGAAGCTAAAATTTTTGTTTTCATTTATATATAGGGTTTTAGCCTACATTGATCAAGTGTTGTATGATACTTGTTTGGGTGAAGTATATAGAATGTCTATAAAATTATCTTTGATATTAAATGAGCAATAAGGCTCTTGTTATTGTTGCATTAATTAGAGATGACTTTTAGATTGTGTTTATTAAATGAGTTTTTATTTTTTTTATTTCTTAATTTACAAAAAAATGTTAAGTGCTCATCTTCATATTATACTTTCTTTATATTTTAGACATCTTCGCTTTTATTTTTTAATTTTTTTAGTTAGTCTTTTAAGGCATTAATTTTCTAAAGCATTTCCTTTGATTGAAATGAGTTGTGTTTTCTTATATGGTTTTGTTTTTTGTTTTTTTTCTTGCTTGTGAGTATGGGAGCATATCTGGGAAACTCTATTAAAAGTTTAAACATTATTAGATATGGTAGATAAACTATAACATCTTTTCTAAAAGATTGGCACATACTATGCTCTTATTTAATTAATTATTATTGTTAAAAGGCTTGATATTTATTGAATAACACAACCTGACCTTGCGCTTGGAATTGATCAAGGCAGAAACAGATGATCGAACGGTGGAAAATAATTTTTTCAATATTCATTTTCTAAAACTAACATTTTTATAACAAAAGCCACTATATAAAAAAAATAAATTAAAGTAATATTGTTTAATTAACCTCATTTCTGGTTGTCCGCGTCTTCTATACTTATTCTCTTATATTGTTCTTTATTGAATTAATTAATTAAACCTAAAATGTTAGTTTATAACCGTAGTAAATTAACTAAAACCAGTGAATACTCATATTAGGGCTGTCAACTTGCCTCTTCGTTCGCGAACAACTTGTATTCAACTCGTTTGTTAAGCTCAAT